AAATGACTATGTGTGATGTGAAAGGAGTCGCTCATAGTGAAAAACCCACTGAGAATTATCGCCTCACTCTACAGTTTCATTCAGCTCTATGAGGCATTTTAGCGCCTTTTTGTTTTTGTTTTCCAACTTACTTACTCCTACAGCTCTGATCAACCTGCTTACCAGCCGCAGCAGGTGGCTGTTTTCACTGAAAAAGATGTGATAAAGCTACTATCTGCCGTGCACAGCAATGGCAGACAGACAAAGTTAGCAACTAGCTGGTCAACATAGTGGAGTACTTTGCAGCTTTAAGTGCCAGATATTTCCCTCAGGATTTAGCGGAGACTTGATTTATAGTTCATAAATTAGCATTCATTTGTAGTCCAAATGAATGCTAATACTGCTTTGTATCTGCTGGTTGTTTAGAAAATTAGAGGTAACAGGTCAGTGTTGCGGTTACAGCTTGTTCCGCTGCCCCAAAGTGGCATGGCATATTTACTTGCATGATTCACAGTAATAATTAGCAGTTCTTTTATGTTAGCGGAAAAATATTCCAAACTGTCCAAGAGGGCCCTGCTTATTTTAAACTGCTAAATAAAATCAGAGTGAAAATAACTTTGAACTAATTCAACCCTTGTACCAAATGTGGGCGGTGAAATTTCCCTAAAACCAGTTATAATGAGCTTTGTGTTTGCATCCTGAACCTAAAATGAATGAACGTATATGACATCTGTATTCAATCCTGTGTGCTCTGTTAGTCTTTTATGAGTTTTTATTTCTTTACCCCAAGAGCAACGCACCGACTGGGACAAATAAGGGTGCCTTGAAAGTTGAACTTTTAGTTATTTTAGCAGTTTGGAGAGTGTGTGAGCAGTTATTTTTTTTACCTGACTATCTCTGGGCCTTGCCGCTGCGTTGCACTCTCTGTCGTCTACCGTGTCACCGTAGTCCCCCGACACACACCTAACAGCTCTCATCTGGTAGCCATGGCCACAGGTCACCGCACACTGAAAGGCAAAATCACACACATACATACACACACACAAACACAAAGCAGAGAGAAGCTCAGTCAACCACAAGCTATCTCAAACTCTATCTAAGTGTGTCAAGGTTGATATCTTAGACGGGGCCTCAGTCAAGGTTCAGCTCAGCAGAGCCTGGGCAAGACTCTGACATGCATACACACACACACACACACAAACACATGTGT